ACTAAAATATGTTAAAAATTCACTAAATACTACATAAAGGCTATTTCAGAATTTAAGCATTACTAAATAATATATGTTTACTAATAATTACCACATTGATATTTCAAATATTTAGATACATTATCGCAGGTCGCAAACAGATAATATATTCTATTGGTTGATTTTTTAGAATTTATTTTTTGATTTATTTTTACCCTCGACATTACTAGAAAGGAAATCCATTTAAATACTTACCTTTTGTGTTTTCTCGATTCAAAGAACATCCTTTTGCGATCCTTTCTCTTTTTAATTCATTAAAAACTCATTAAATATTTTATATGTCAAATAAACAAAATTAATTGACAAGATATTTTCACTCTTAAAATCATGCATTTAAAACAAAATTAATTGATAAAATATTTTCTCTCCTAAAATCATGCATTTAAAACTTAAACCAAAATTCTGGTGCAATCTATTCACGAGATGTTCTCCTTTAGCTTTATCAACAAGATATTCCAAAAAAAATATTACCTTATAGGTATGAGATTTATTGAGAATTTATGAGAGAATATGTTACTTCTTAGCTTATCATGCAAGCTAAATCATTGAGAAACGTCCATCAATTTACCATAAATAAGACATTCACAGTAGAAGAAATGAAATCATTGAACTTTGTATTCTGAACTTTTTATGTAATAATGTTCTGAACTTTTTTTTTTCTTATTTTAGAACATTAAGCTTATATATTTCATGAGAGCTGATTTTTCTTTTTATATAAAGATATCCTATTACGAAGATTTCTCCACTGAAGCTATATATGATTTGATTGTACACCTCTTTGATATATCATTTCGATAACATCTTTGTTCCTTAATCTGGTAAAAAAAATTTCTCTATTTGATAACATCTCTGAGCTATATCATTTCAATAGCATCTTTTTGTGCTGCCAATACTTTTTTTTTATTAGTAGATTTATATTATTGTTTAGAATTATAAGCTTATATATACATATATATTTCTTTGGTTTGCTGATTGAGCTTTATTTTAAATATATTTCCTTAAATTGCTTCATGCCTTATTTTAAATTAATATAACTTGCACAAGAAGACTAATATTTAATTTAAATCAGCTTATGATATTGTAGATTTAATAACTTTCTTTATTCAGTTTAAATATTTATTATAAAAAATTAATATTTTCTGCTTTGCCGCCTAAATCGGTATTACACTTTATAATTGCTTAGATTTTATAGTTACAATAGCATAATAATGAGATGAACTATTTCTCTTGCAGGTCATGATGTTGCAGTTCTTAGGTGATGTTTCCTTTGGTGGTGATTTTTCAGGAACTCATTTGTCTAAAAGAAAAAACCAAGAAAATCATGACAGTAATCTTGGAGGATCAACACTCTGTCAACAAAAAACATTCCCACAAAAAATCAAGGGCGAGTGATCTCGAATTTTTTTTAAAATATTTATTTATGAATATTTTCCAGGAACAACACATTTAGTCTTTTGTCACTATCCTCATTATTCATTATTATTTATTTCAAAGAAAAACACATTGAGTCTTTTCTTGTGCTCATGACAATTTTTAAAATAATTTCATTATAATAACACTCATGTTTTAGTAATAATCTGTTGGAAGAGATGAAATTATCTAATTTTCGTTCTAATGACATGTTATTATTTAGTCAATGTATTTGTTATTGTTTTTTTAGTTATATTTTTATTAGATAATATTTTTTCAGATCTCAATATATAATAAGGTCACTTTTATAGTTATTATTATCGTCATTTAACAATTATATTATTACTTGTTTATTATTTAATTCTCACAACTTGCCTTGAATGAAAAATAGGTCCACATTTATCACATTAATGATTATCAATTAATGATGATTACAACATCACGTAACATATACTCCCTCCATTCCTAAATGATTGATGTTCTGTAAAAAAAAATCAAATTTCAAAAAGATTGATTTTTTTTTACTTTTTCAATGTATGATTTAATGAAAAATTGTAAGCTTCAAAAAAATTATTGGTGTTTATTGAATTTATATTGGCTAAAAGCTATGGAAAAATTTTATTCATAAAAAACAATGCATTTACAATCAAAATTTAATGAGTTTTCTTATTATATGTGAAAAGTCTAAAACATCATTTTTTAAAAACAGAGGGAGTATTGTATAAATTTAATTCACAAGATTGATTGGTAATAATTAAGAATGATTTATGTTAACGCATTAAATTCAGAACGTGTTCTGAACTTTTTTTTTCTTATTTTAGAACATTAAGCTTATATATTTCATGAGAGCTGATTTTTCTTTTGGTTTATATGAAGACTAGGTGACCGGCCCGCACCATGTGCGGGTATATACAGATTCAAATTATGGACTTAATAATACGAAGTTTTAGAAGTAATAGATTTTATATCATAAGATCACCGTCTGTATATACATCTCCCTCTCAGGAAATGCATGTTTTGAGCTAGGGAGAGCGAGAGGGCGAGAGAGAAAGACACAGGGAAAGAGAGAGAGGGAGGGAGGGAGAGAGAGAGAGAGAGAGAGCTAGGGAGAGAGAGAGGGCGAGAGAGAGAGGGAGAGAGAGAGAGGGAGAGGGAGAGGGAGAGGGAGAGGGAGAGGGAGAGAGAGAGAGAGAGCGAGAGAGAGAGAGAGAGCGAGAGAGATAGAGAGCGAAAGAGAGAGAGCAAGAGAGATATGTGTAACATTTCTTTTAATCTGTCTACATACATTTTACGAAAAATTTATGCATAATAATATTTTTCACCTAAAATAAAGAATTACAACACATATACAATACAATTCTAATTAGTGATAATAGAAAATATGTTACTTATAAAACTACACACTATTAATTTCAGATTTGGAAAATAAAATTTAACCTTCAACACACAAATGTTTTTGTGATGTTGCAATTATAAATACACACAATAACTACCTATTGATACTGAAGTTACTTTGTTCCATCTCTTCCATGTAAAATATTGTTTACCAGCATTTTTCTGTGCCTGATGCTTTACCTCAAAGACGGTGGTCTTATGATATAAAATCTATTACTTTTAAAACTTTCTATTATTAAGTCCATAATTTGAATCTGTATATACCCGTACAGAGTGCGGACCGGTCACCTAGTTCTCCATTATTAGAAAGGATAATATATATGAAAGAACGTGATCATTGCAAAAGCATGTTAAATAATTTGTAATATCTACAAGAGCTTTTCTGTGAGATGATTACTGAACCTTACCAAAACTTAAGATTACAAAAGAAATTAATTGTACTATTCGATTTCTACTAAATTATTTTATATACTACCAACGAACTTAAGTGCCAATGGAAAAAAGTCCAACAAAGGCCGGTTAATGAAATTCAATCTATTCTAGCTCCATTCTTTGATTAGCACACAAGATATAACATTATCTTAAAGTTGATCTATACCGGCTAACCAAATATCACAAGATACAATAATATTTTTAAGTTGATCTAAACCGACTTTCCAAATGCCCAAAAACAATTTTACAAGACTCTAACCGGTAACCATCAAAGTAATATAAGGAATAAGAAAGAAAGGAATGAAAAAGAAAAAAATAAAAGGAAAATCTATTCCCCTTCTAATTTGACAAGAAATAATTGTAATCTTTTATTCCTTATATCTTAAAGAATGTTAAGGAATCATATGTAACAAATATTCCTTGTAAATGGTGTAAATTGTAAGGAATAGTAAGGAACTGACTATTCCCGCTTATTCCTTTGATCACCATCTAGAGCTGAAATTATTCTTTCTGTATGTAAGAAATTTCACATTCTATGATTCACTCTTCTAGATGAAATATTATGAGTGTTAAAGCATATAGATATAATAAGTTGAAACATTAAAAATAACGTGAAATTTTCCATATAGTACTCCAAAATAATTAACGGCTTTTTATATCAAAAGTGACTCAAAATTCTAAGTTAAACACAAAACTAATTTTTCCTGGATATTTAATTTGCCCTATCCATTTTAAAGTTTTGATTATTTACAAAAAGGGTATTTTTTATTTTTCAAAAATGAGTGTTTTACTCTATCATCATTATCTTCATCAACTAATCACGAAAATACCATTGCCATCAATTCACCCAACAACCATAAACAACTAAAATAAAGCTCTTAATACATTTAAACACGAAATTTACTCATTCATTCTTATATCTTATGCCCAAAAACCACATCCCTTATCTTTCTAGCTTTATTCATCAAAAAAAAATCAAAAAAAAAATTTCTAAAGTTTTTAAGCGTCATATAGCCATTCAAACTCACGATTTCTGGTCATAAGCAATTGAGTAGCTGTTCTGGTGAAGTTGTGTGTGCTTGGAGAACTAAGAAAGTTCTCTCAGGGGTTGAAGGTATGAATTGAAATTTTCTCAGATTTGTTCGGTAGAAGACTTATGTGTAAGTCTTACCTGGAAGTCTTCTCAATTTTTATATTAAGTCTACTTGCTAGCACTAGAAGTCTACGTAAGTTACTTTTGCAATTGAGAATTTGAACTTAAGACATTTAATAAATTAGGAGATTTTCAGGTAAATCTTCTGCCCGAACACTTACCTAGAAGTCTTCCAAATAAGTCTTATGCTCGAAGACTTATCTGAAAATCTTCCAAATTTTTATTCCGTGATTCTAGTCAAATCTAAGGGCATGTACATCAAGGGATGAAGAGAGGTTCATGGCTCGAGTTCAGAGGCACAAAAAGGAAAAAAAAAAGAAAATAGGTTTAATTCTGTGAACCGGTTCACTCGAGTGAACCCCAAAGACACGGGTTCAAGCCACGCGGCGTTCAGTCATTGGCCTCGCCAAGGTCGCGTTTTACACGAAGAAAAGAGGTTTCTCACCATCACCGTCGCAACTATTTCGCTGGCACCGAAGTTCGCGTTCTGATCTACCCGTGGTCTTCTTCGGTGGAGTTCTCGCGGCGGTGCGGCTCCGACGCAGCAGTTTTGGTGCCGTTGAATCTTCCCATGGAGGTCTTGTGTTTGCCGGTGAATCTGTTCCGGAGGTCGAAGATGGACCTCGTTGTGCCACCAGCTATTGTGGTCGCTGTCTTCGCCATCGTTGTACAGACAAGAAGAAGAAGCTTTTTCAAGTTTCTTGATAATTTTGGGCCTCTGGGAAGAAGAAAGCTTTTTAAATGTAGGCCCATTATATAATCTAATTAATTAACCTTTCACATAATTATCCTTGTTGATTTAGGGTTATGCGCATCCACTTTGTAACTTTAATGTGTAATCTATGCAAGGTTAATTAATGCCGGTAATATGCATGGCATTCGCAATGAACTTCGAGATTCACAGACTCATGCTCGGTTGAAAGCTGATTTGGTCGAAAATGTTTGGCAAAAGTTTGGTAATCAGAATTAATAATCTTTTGTATCTTCACGAATTATCAATGTATTGAATAAAAACTTTTATAAAATCAATAAAAAAATTATTTTCTATGTTTTTCACTTCTTCAAAAATTATTTAATTATTTTTTTTGGTCAAACATTTTAATTATATTCAACATATATTTTTTTAAAAAAATATTAAAAATATTTTAAAATAAAATTTTTTTATTTTATTCCTATGAACCCCAACGTCAGGTTCATTGATGAAAGAGCACATTTGATCCGGGTTCAACACTATTCATGGTCCCACCAAAAAATAATAAAAAAATTTTGTGAACCCCAAAGGGGGGTTCACTAATGTGGTTGCTCTAAGGACATCAAAGAAGACTTACATATAAGTCTTCTGGCAGAAGACTTACCTGAAAGTCTTCTGGCAGAAGACTTACCTGAAAGTCTTCTCAACAAAAGTTAAATGAAATCAAATGCAAAAGTAATCTACGCAGACTTACAGGTATAGCGAGTAGACTTAATGTAAAAGTTGAGATAAATTTCAAGAAAGTCTTCCGGTGGAAGATTTACCAGGACATCTTCCGTAGAAATTCAAATTTCTGACACAGATTGGTCAATTGCAAAACTGACCTAATTATCTTCTCAGTTATTTTTGAGAAGTTTTGTATTACAAATTAAGCCAATATTTACAAATTAAAGAAGACTTCCAGAGAAGTCTCCTGATATGTCATGATTTTGACTCGCTTTTAGTCATGGTATATTGGGTTTTTACTACTATTTATTATATTATAGAAGATTTTAAGCATATTTATAGGTTAAGAAGTATTTTGGAAGCAAGTGATGTTTTTGGAGCATTTTAAAAAAAACTGGAGAAATCACTTGATTTGGAATCAACCAAGACGATTGAGGTCGACATGGAGTGACTCACGTCGATCGACATGCACCTAGCATGATCGATCGACACCGAAGGCACGGAAGACCAATTCGTGAGACAAGCTAACTTGAAGCCCAAACATCACTAAATGACGATTTTACCCCTAGCAAGTTTTAACCTAAGTTTATATACTCTGCCAAAGTGTTAGAGGCAGAGAGAGCTTTTTTGTATTCTTTTCACAGCAAAATGTTTTATGATTTTAGTTTGGGAGAGAAGATTAACAGAGAGATTTGTGATTGGAACTCTATTGTTTTCTATCTATCTAATACTATGCTTATTACTTTGCTTGTGTTAAGAATTGCTTAGCCATGTCTGAGTAATTCATTTGTTAGAATTATGGTTTAAATAGGTTTGTGGGATTAGCCCCAACTATAGGATCGCTTGTTGTGGTATTCATTAATAGGATGTTCCTAATGCTTATGTTCTAGACTTGCTAACTAGAAACCTGAATCTAGGATTGTTAGGTTGAAAATCGATCGACGTAGAGTAAAGTGATCGATATTCCTATAGAATAATCGATCGACAATGTCATTGATTGGACACTCTTGTCTTGGTCAATAACACTCTAGTCAATAGACTTATTTATTAAATAATAGTTTAGTAAATCTGTTGTCAAGATAGTTAATGCTCTTTAATACCATGCAAACAACAAGATAGCACCTATAGGATTATAATATCCAACTTTTGGATAAAAACCAGAAGTCTAACACCTTTCCATTTAAGTTCAAAACCCTCATTCCATTTTTGTCGAGTAATTTTCTTGCTCAATTAGAATATTTCATATTTAATGTTTACTTGCTTACTGCGATTTACTATTTATATTCACTTAGTTTTATTGCTTGATTAGATTTAATAGGTTTCATAGCTCCTTGTGGTTTTGGATCCCTAAGTACTGCAATAGATATCTTATTTGAGAGAGTAAGTTGCTATATAGGGTAATATGAGCACATATCATATTAGGCACCGTTGCTGGGGAGCTTTGATTGCCATTAGATTTAGTCTAATAATTTTAGTTTTTTTTTTCTTTTTCTTTTATCATCTTCTGATAAAAAAAAATCTTGATTTTTCAGGTGCATGCATAGCATAACCAGAAGCAACAAGGAATAACAACTGATATTTTCATAAGGCCCAGCAAGATTGGAACGTTCGATCCGTAAAGACCTACGTCCCGCATCGATCAACGCTAACAACACTTCGTTGACCGATTCTCATCAGACCCCAACCGAGTTCGCTTCATCATCGATTGACATCGGCAACTCTTTGTCGAGTGATTATGATCACTTGACATCGATCGACACTGTTCATCATACATTGATCGATACTCAGCCGCGAGACATGGTTGCGCCTTTGATATTAACTGCGAACGAGAATGGAGACATGTATGACCAGGAAGGTCAACTGCGTAATGCAACATGTCAGAAACTAAATACTCAAAGGAATGTAATCCCTGAACCTGATACTGATGAGACCACTCGACCCAAGACCTTGGCAGACTACAACCGTCCAAACCAGTATTACGCCAACATGTCAGCTATTCGTCTCCCAGACATCCAGAGGGAGAACTTCGAGTTGTAGCCCCAGGACTACACACTTGTGGCTCAGATACCCTACTGTGGGTTGCCACATGAGCATCCTATGGACCATCTTGAGAGGTTCGAGGATCTCATCACTGCTATTAGAGTTAAGGGACTTCCTGAGGACTACTTATTGTACAAGCTATTTAAGTTCTCACTTGCTGGAGATGCTGCACATTGGCTCAAGCAGCTACCACCAGGATCCCTTACATCTTGGGCTGACATCATGAGTGCGTTTCTGCGCAATTTCTTTGATGAGGCACGGCTGGAGAACTAAGGAGCAGGATCGCTACTTTCATACAGAAACCTGAAGAGTCCTTCAAAGACTCTTGGATTAGATTTAAGCTCTTCCAGTGCGATTGCCCACACCATGGATTCAATGAAATGCAACTCCTCAGCACTTTCTTTAGAGGAATCGCTTTGAAGTATCAGATGGCTCTGGATACATCAAGCGATGGAAGCTTTAACACCATGAATCCAGAAGAAGCTGTGGGACTTATCGAGAATCTAGCGAACATCAGCAGCATCAAGGACATTGATTCTGAAAGGAGGAAATCTGTAGCATTCCTTGGGAAGGAACAGATGGATGAAGTAAAAGCTAAGTTAGACAGTGTCAACCAGCTACTTATGAGACAGGTTTGCTCAGCTAAATATGCCGAGGATATAGATTCTGAGTTAGCAGATGTGAACTATATAGAAGGAACTGGATTTCACAGGTCTGGGAATCAGTTTGGAAACATGAAGTTCAGTGGTAATGGTTAGAGAAGTAACTTCAACCAAAATCCACAATTTCAGAAACCCTACAGCAGCTACATCAACAACAAAGGCTATGGAACTTCATTCTACCAGAATCCACCTCAACAGACTCGGGGAAACAAGATTGAAGCCGAGCTAGATACCAAGATTAAGACTATGGATACTGTTGGACCCAATTTTGGCACCTGTCTGAGCAGGGTCAAGCCCGTCTAGATTGGTTCACCAACTCGACATCGAGTCGGACTCTACAAGGTCGAGATGAGATCCCGGAGATAGCGGAAACAGTTAGAGGATGAAAGGACTATAAAAAGAAAGCTAGAGTGGAGTTCAAAACACATGGAAAAACCCTAGTGCTATTCACTAATCACATCAACCTCATTATATAGATTTCTAGTTCGCTTTCTTGTACTTTTCATTGTTGTTTCTGATCTTGTTCACCACCTTGTAAACGTATTCCATATTCAATAAAAGACAATTTTTGTCATCCGAATTCCGATTGTATCGTTTTGTTTAAGAGAATCGTTGCCCACATCATTTGTCTTCTCCCGATTAAACTCTCGATCTCTACAAAATACTGGGTGTGGATTTTAGGATCTACATTTTGGCGCCGACTGTGGGGATGATAAACGAAAAACGCCCTTGCTAAGATCCCGATCTAGGATCTCTAAGCACGATTATGGATCCCAGTAAAACAAACCCCAAAAACGTCTGATCCGAATCAACCGATGTCGCTTCCACCGGAAACCCGTTGGGGACCGATCCACCATCCGTCAATCGAGCAAACATCACTGAAGTTTTCGATGCGACCCAAAATCAACATACTCCATCGATTGGAACTTCGATCACCAAAAGAAGTACACTCTAAGATCGAAAACCCTCCCGCTGATTGAATCAGATCTCGAGTGTGGAACCGAACGACGGACAAAACAACACCCGACGATCCGACCAGGGCAATGAGACCGAGATGCCCGACTCAATTAGCTCGAACTCGAGACGAAATGGCAGAGATCAGAGCAATGATTGCCACGCTTATCGATAGATCTCGTGAACAAGAAACCATCTATTGAATCATCGCCAGCCGCCTGGAAAAAACCGAGAGAGACCTCGCTGAGAGCCGAGCAAATCCAAGAGAAAGAGTCCGACAACATTCGGATCCACCTCTCCAAAGGCCACTCCCTCGAAACCGTGGAGGCTTTGCCTCCCCCGAAGTGGCCTGCACCCGATCAGGCCGCTACGCTGGAGAAAGTTCGCGACAGGCCCAACCTGAAGGGATGACCTATTGAAGTCTAGATTATAATAATCAAGGCGAGGTCAAAAATGGAACACAGGGAATCGGAACGACTCCAACCTCAACTTGAAATAGACCAGCAAAAACATCTCCGCTGCAGCATCGAGCTCGGGATGATCGATTCTTGTTCGGAGGAGACGAATTCCAACGAACGGTACCCACAGCCCCTCAAGATCCCGTATTGACATACAACCCGTTCAGACCGATGCACAAAATCCCGCTGGAGGATGACCAAAGATTCCCGAGTCAAGCGGGAGCATTCA